ATACAGAAATGCTTAATAAGATACACCAAATAGAAGTAATTTATTAGCTATTCGATTGAAACCAAATTAAAATCATCAAAATGACAATTTTATGCTAGGAATCACGTGAAAATCACGATTTTTAATCATTAATCATGAAATTGATCAGATATCATAAAATGACATTTTTATTCGGAATCATATGAAAATGACAATTTTTGTTTCAAATTTGATCAAGAATCATAAAAATGACTAACACTTTGATCAGAAATCATAATAAAACAATAATTGATCAGAAATCATAAAAATGACAACCATTGATCAGAGATCATGAAAATGATAATAATTGATCAGAGATCATGAAATTTAATCACTACAATGACAATAATTTATAAGAAATCTTAAAAATGGCAATAATTGATCAGAAATCATGAAAATGGCAATAATTGATCAGAAATCCTGAAAATGGCAATAATTGATCAGAAATCATGAAAACGGCAATAATTGATCAGAAATCATAAAAATGGAAATAATTGATCAGAAATCATGAAAATGGCAATAATTGATCAGAAATCATGAAAATGGCAATACTTGACCAGAAATCATGAAAATGGCAATAATTGATCAGAAATCATGAAATTAATAATAATAAAAATTGATAAAAACAAATTGTAAAATAAGAACGAAAAAACTATTTAAAAACATCAGCTAAAATTTTATGAAGTTTTTTCCCTTTTAATACTACGTGAACACAATTGCGCGCGTCATGTTTTTACCCATCAACAATTACGCGCTTGGACGAGGATTGAGAAGGGGGGAATGAATGAGGGGGGTGTCATGTTAAAATCTACAATAAACAATTCTGCAGCTAAAACTTAAAATGTTTCCGATTATAGTAAAAACAGTTTCTGCCTCGGTTCAAACATTATACAGTCAATGTACATACTTAATGTACATTGTACATGTACATTAACATTGTACAATATAAAATTACGGATGTACGGAACATTTTATAATTATATTTTTATTGTAGTAGTT